CTCAGCAGTCAGCAGCTGAATGAAGAAAAGCCTCCAGCTTCAGTGGGCCAGCAGCAGGAGGCAGAGCTGAAGCCCAAGGTTGAGGGGCTTTCATCCAGACCCTAGAACCTGGCACTCTGAACTCAGAGTTAAAGCCTCCAAATTGTAAACATAATCTCCTGTTTGGTAAAGCCATCCCATTTGTGGTATATTCCTATCAGAGCAGCATTAGATAACCAAAACACATAGCAACGCTATGAACAATGGAACCTAACAATGCCTGGTCCTGTGCCATCCTCACAATCATTGCTATGCTTGAGCCCATTGTTACAGCCACTGTATTGATCTAGCTTGTTTAGGGGCTTCCTCTTTCACACTGACCCTCTACTTTGCTAAGCATGATGCCCTGCTTCAAGAACTGGTCAATCCTGATAACATGTTCAAAGAATGTGAGACCATCCTCACTTCTAAGTGGCCATCCTCACATCTAAGGAGCATTCTGACTGTACTTCTTCCAAGACAGATTTGTTCATTCGTATAGCAGTACATGGTATATGAAATATTCTTTGCCAACATCATAATTCAAAGGCATCAGTTCTTCAGTCATTGTCCAGCTTTCACATGAAGAAGAGATCACTGAAAATACATGGCTTGAGTCAGGCATGCCTCAGTCATCAAAGTGACATCTTTGCTTTTTTAGCACTGTAAAGAGGTCTTTTGCAGCACATTTGCCCAATGCAATCCATTGTTTGATTTCTTTACTGCTGCTTCCAAGGCCATTGATTGTGGATCCAAATAAAATGAAATCCTTAGCAACTTCAGTCTTTTCTCTGTTTATCACGATGTTCCTTATTAGTCCAGGTGTGAGGACTTTTGTTTTTATGTTGAGGTTTCACCCATACTGAAGGCTGTGTGCAGGTTCTGCATAAGCACAATTAAGTGTTCTGGAATTCCCATTCTTCACAATGTTATCTATAATATGTCATGATCCAATCATATGTGCCTTTGAATAGCCAATAAAACACAGATAAACATCTGGTATTCTCTGCTTTCAGCTAAGATCCATCTGGCATCTGCAGTGATATTCCTCATTCCATGCCCTCTTCTGAATCCTGGTTGAATTTCTGGAAATTCCCTATCTATGTACTTTTTAATTATCTTCAGCAAAATTTTCTTACATGTGTGCCTTGTTTCTCTAGTGCTACTACAACAGAAATACCACAAGTGGATGGCTTTAACACACTGGAATTCATTCTCTGAACAGTTTAGGAGGGTGGAAGTCCAAATTCAGAGTGCCAGCTCTAAGGGCATTGAAGGTCCTTCGACCTTGGGCTTCAGCTCTGCTTTTTATTCCAGGCTCACTGGAGGTGTAGGAGTCTTCTAACTCAGGCAGCTGCGGGCTGCTGAGGCTAATGAACCCAAGATTGACAGATAAAATGGCACAATCCTAAGATTGGCAAGCCACATGGCAAACCACTGGTTCAAGTTTAGGAACAATATTAAGATCAACAGATAGAACATATCCAAATGTGCCAAAAAGCTAGAGACCTTTCTCAAAGCTTCTCCTTATATGATGGAATCAGGCCATACCCTGAAGGCAACTACTTAGCTGCTCACCACAGATACATCATGGAGGTGATTAAAATCTCATCATGGGGAATAACTAAATCCACCTGTCCAGCCACTCAAAACCACAGCCCAGTCAAGTTGGCCCATAACTTTTACTACCACAGTGTGATGTTAATGATATTGTTCAATAATATCTGCATTCTGTTAGACCACCTTTCTTTGGAATGGGCACAAATATGGATCTCTTCCAGTTGATTGGTCAACTACCTGACTTCTAAATGTCTTGACATAGGTAAGTAAGCGCTTCCAGTATTGCATCTGTTTGCAAAAATATGTTAATTGGTATTCTGTCTATCCTGGAGCCTTGTTTTTTCAATGTCTTAAGTATAGTTTGGACTTCTTCCTCTAATATCATCCATTCTTAATGATATGCTACCTTCTGAAATGGTGGAACACTGATACCAGTTCTTTTCAGTAGTGATTTTGTATGTTCCTTCCCCCTTCTTTTGATGCTTCCTGTATTGTTCAACATTTTGCCCATAGATTCTTTCAATATTGCAACTCTTCAGTTCTTTCAGCTTGAAAAATGCTGAGCATGTTCTTCTTTTTTGGTTTTCTAAATCTAGGTCTTTGCACATCTCATTATACTACTTTACTTTTTTTTAAGCTACCCTTTAAAATCTTCTGTTTAGCTCTCTTACATCATCATTTCTTCCATTCACTTTAGCTACTCTCCATTTAAGAGAAAGTTTCAGAGTCTCTTCTAACATCCATTTTGGTCCTTCCTTTATTTCTTGTCTTTTTAATGATGTTTTGCTTTCTTCTTGGATGGTGTACTTAATGTCATCTGTAATTCATCTGGTCTTCGGACATTAGTGTTTAATGTGTCAAATCTATTCTTGAGATGGTCTCAAAATTCAGGTGGAATATACTCAAGGTCATACTTTGGCTCTGGTGAACTTGCTTTAATTTTTTTTCCTCATCAACTTGAGCTTGCATATGATCAATTGTTGGTCTCTTTCTCAGTCGGCCCCTGGCCTTCCTCTGGCTGATGATATTGACTTTCTTCATTGTCTCTTTTCACAGATGTAGTCATTTGATTCTCGTGTATTCCATATAGTGAGCTCTACATGTGTAGTTACCATTTATCTTGTTGAAAAAAGGTATTTGCAATGAATAAGTCATTGGTCTTGCAGAATTCTATCATGTGATGTCCAGCTTCATTTCTATCACCAAGACCACATTTTCCAACTGCTACTTCTTTGTTTCCAAATTTTGCGTTCCATTCACCAATAATTATCAGTACTTCTTGATTGAATGTTTGATCAATTCCAGACTGCTGAAATTGGTAAAAAAAAAATCTTCCATTTCTTCATCTTTGGTATTAGTAGTTGGTGGGTAAATTTGAATAATGATCATATTAACTTTTCTTCTTTGTAGAATGAGGATATTATCCTGTCACTGACAGCATTGTGCTTCAGGATAGATCTTGAAATGTTTTTTTGACAATGAATGCAACACCTTTTCCATTTGTCATTTCTGGTGTAGTAGACCATACGATTGTCCAATTTAAAATGGCCACTATGCCTGTTGTTGTTGTTGTTGTTGTTATGTGCCATCGAGTCAGACCTGACTCATAGCAACCCCTCCTTGGGTTTCCAAGGCAGTATCACCACAGAAGTAGATTGCCCAACCTTCCTTCCAAGGAATTTGAACCACCAGCATTCTGGTTAGCAGTCAAGTGCCTTAGGCACTATGTTACCAGAGCTCCTCCCACCAATATGCCTAGGATATCAATATTTATACATTCCATTTCATTTTTGATGACTTTTAATTTTCCTGGGAGCTCTGGTGGCATAGTGCCTAAGGCACTTGACTGCTAACCAGAAGCCTGGTGGTTCAAACCCACCAGCCACTCCTAGGAAGGAAGGTTGGGCCATCTACTTCCATAGTGATACTGCCTTGGAAACCCAAGCAGGGGTCACTGTAAGTCAGATCTGACTCGACAGCAGTGAATTTTGTTTTAATTTTCCTAGAGCCATACTTCATACATTCCATATTGCAGTTATTTATGGATGTTTCTAACTTTTTTTTTTTCTCATTTTGAGTCATGTCACATCAGTAAATGAAGGTCCTGAAAGGTTTACTCCATCCACATCATTAAGGTAGACTCTATTTTGAAGAGACATCTCTTCCCCAGTCATATTTTGAGTGCCTTCCAACCTGAGTGGCTCATCTTCCAGCACTATGTCAGACAATGTTCTACTGCCATTCATAAGGTTTTCACTGGTCAGTTCTTTTTAGAAGCTGATCACCAGGTCTCTCTTCCTAGTCTGTCTTAGTTTGGACATTCCACTGAAACCTGTCCTGGATTGAAATTTGAAATACCAGTGGCATAGCTTCACCATCACAGCAACCTGCAGGCCATCACAGTACAATAAACTGATGGACAACTGGTGGAAAAAACTAAAGAAAATTATGTAAATTGTCAAAGGCTATACAACTAATTAACAATAAATCAGGATTGGAATCTGGCTCTTAACTGTGACTTGAAGTAGCATTATTTCAATTTGACAGCAGGAGGCACAGACCCAGAAGATTTAAATGATTTGTCCAGGATCACAAGTGTCTGATGGGGATTGGGAAGGGAGTCATATTTTATATCCAATGTCGTGTTAGTTTACAAGATGGATGATTTTTACAGTGGTTCCATCTGCCAACCTTGGTGAGTTCTTAATCTAACATTGGCCTTACACTAAAAAAAGTTTATGTATCTAGAAAAGTAGATCATTTTTATAAAAAATTGAAATAGACACTTAAAACTTTCCTTTGACATAGTTACTCTTTATTTTGTTTTTATAACTGATTGATTTCTATGACAATGCTGAATGTTAATCCAACTTCTCTTTTTCCATTTGTTGATAGCAATGCTTTTATTCATAATGTGAAATCGTTTGGGTTCTGTGGTGTAGATTTGCTATTTTTATTTGCCTATATTGTGTATTATATCATGTTATGCAAGTGAGATTTTTTTTTTGTTAAATTCCCTAATATTAAGTTGTGATTCATTTTTTATCATTAAGGCAGTTAGATGGCTATTTCTGACAGTGTAATGAAGCTCATTTTGCTTTTTTAAAAAAACCTTATTTTCTCCAGCCTAACAATAATTTCACTGGAGGAGAAAAATTAGAATTGCCACTTTAATAATGTAATGTAACCAGTATTTCCTTCACAAAAATTAAACAAAGTATAAATCTTCCAGTGATTTGCCAGGGGTCAATTGTACTTTCAGAAAAATGCCTAACACTTTCTCAAAGCTTTGTTTTCGAAATAAATCCTCCTATTCTGAAGTGTTTACTTTTGTGGTTTTTGAAGTGGAGTATGAAAAAGAGAACCCATTTAATGAAATTCATAGTTGACTCGTCTCTTCTTCTTTCTTCTCTCTCCTCTAGCTCTTCCTCTTTGTTGTCTGGAACTTTGAGCTCTACATGATACCACTGGTTTTGTTGTTACTATTGACATGGAACTATTTCTTGATAATATCAGGGAAAGATAACAGACAACGTGATACAGTAAGTCTCTACTTTCTGACTGGGATGGGTTTTGCTCTTATTCCTCATCCTGTGACAAGATCAACATTCAATTTGGTTTTACAAACTAGAAATTCTGTCTACAAATATTCAAGTTTACAGGGAAATTGTATCTATTCAAAACTAACACATTGGTCCTAACACAATAGAAACTATGTGCCTATTTCTAACCTTACACATCTTGTTTAAAACTAAAGTAGGAAGCACACAAGAGAATATACTCTGATATTTAATCAAAAATGGGTGTTTTTTTATTATTATTGTTATTATTTGTTTTTATGCCTTAAGGAACTTTGAATTAAGGGATAATGTCACAAAATAATCAATGATCAGACTAATGTATTTTGTTTTTACTTAAGAGAGTTATTTACTTATTTATTAAGACATGTATTTATGACATTTCTCTGTGTTCTCTCATTGGCCCATTGATGGTTACTGGCCTAGAAAATACATAAAGCACCTTAATTCAATAAGCATTCACAGCAAATATCCTTCTCTATGTCATGGTTGTATTATGATATGGCTCAAGGATGAAGAACTTTAATTTACTGGGGAAAGTTATCCTAAACCTACCTCCCCTCTTTCACATTTTTGAAAGTGCTTTCAACGTGTGTGAGACAACCTTCCCTCTCTGTATAAGTTTTAGACTGAGAAGAGCAGACACTAGCCACACTATAATCACATTTGTTGTTCTCCTGACAACCTTTATTCCTATTGGACTGCCTCAGTCACTACACCCTAGCAAACACAACTTTTTCTAGACCTTTCTCATACACAGTATAAAGAAATTGGGGAGGTAGGGAACATCTCCAAATGAAACACTTGCAAATTTGACACTCTGACAGCTGTTGAGAATAATTTAAAGATTTGTCAAACATAAGACTTTGTAGTTATATGTCCCCAATGAATTTCTTAGATTTTATTATTATTATTCACAATTACCAGTCTCCATTTGTTTAATAATCAGAACTTTTTGCCAACTACATAGGCCTATCAGTGATGCAGGAAACAGTTATTTTATCATCAATTTTAAACTATTATATATTTTACTGTGAAAATTAACATCATTAGGGTTGCACAGATGTACCTATGACACACACACACAAAAAAACTTTTTAAATGGTAATGCAACAAAATATGCTTCTTCAAACTAATTTTATCATCAGAATAAAAGAAAAGATCTGATTCAACCACCAAGTACATGACAAAGTTGCCAATAACCTACCAAGTTTATTTCTCTATAATATTTAAATGTATTTCTGCTTCCCTCCATAGGTTATAAATATGAGTGGAGGGACTCTTTGTTCATCTTTGCATTTCCCACATTGCAAATCATGTGCTTTACAAATTAGAGGTGTTCAAAACATTTTTTTCTGTAAAATATATCAAACCAAACATGAGATTGCTAATAGAGGTTTTAATGGTTAGGCAGCATCAATAAACAAAACGTTATTATTATTGACAAGAATTTTATGGATATATATTCAAATTGCACGCTGAGAGACAAGCCCCAAATGCTATAAGCATTGGTGTCATGGGGACTAATAGGTACTTTTGCCAATTAATCCAGTACATTTTCTTTAAGAAAATGGGACTCTCTTAGACAATTGCTTTCTTGTCCCATTTTTTTTTTCAGGGAGATTATCAAGAGAGAAGAATATCTACTTTTCCTTCAGTTGCCTTGAGACAAATTTGCAAATAATATTATTTGCAAATAAGAAAAAATGGTAATTTAGTTTCAGCTTTCTAGTCCTATGAGGAGGCTTATCTTCAATATTTAGTCATTGGTATGACTATTCTTAGTGATAAATTCTGTAACTATAGACTTTGCTTGCTATCATCTCCAGCATGTACCTGCCTTGGTTGGAAGAATCCACATTTAGAAAGGAAATAATAATATATAACAGATCCCTTGTAGTTAAAATTCTTTGAGACTTTTTATATTAAGAAGTTACATATTATGTAAATTTTGCTATTGCCTCCCCTCTTTTTTTCAAAATATAAATCGAAAATAGTATTTACCAAATCTTTTCCTTTTCGACACATCTGCTCTGACAGATTCCTCCTTTTAGCCATGGACAACATTTTATTTCCCAGCACAGCCCACTGTGAAACATTCTACAGTCTAACTCTCATGGAATGCCAACTACACTCCATAACTCCCAGTAATTGCCTTTTATTTGCCCAAAACACACATATCCATTTCTGTTCTTTCCAGGCACCAGAGCAGCAATCACGACGTTTCATTCAGCTTCTTATTCACTGGCTCAGTTGAGACCTTACGTAACTCTTAAATCCAATTTGTCTAATTATGTGTTTTCTGGCATATCCAGCTGTGCATTTGAACTGGTTGCTCCTTTTGAAAAGAAACCTGGATTATACTTTTCAGGTTAGAGTTTTCCTATCTATAGAATATAAGGGAATGTGTTTGTAGAGATTGCCATGCTATGACTAAGTGACTCTACCTGCACATCTCGGGAAGAATGAATGGTATTTTGATCAAGTCCTTACTGGTATCCCCAAATCATTGCACAATCTTTTAATATGTGTGAACAGTTTAGGAAATCTCTGGGGTACATTAATCACACTATTGGCTGACTCCAAACCAAAAACTTTCTATTTTGGAAGAAGAGAATTTTCTGCCAAAAAAAAAAAAAAAAAAGGCATCTGTACCTTCAGCTGAGAAATTTAAATTTGTATTAAAACTATTTTTTAAAAAAAGGGAAATTAAAATGACCCTCAGATTTCTTTAGCAAAGAAAAAGAAGAGAAGAATATTTTCATGATAGAAACAGTTGGAAGACAAAATAAATAAACATTCTAAAAGAGAAAAAAAAATGCATACATGCACAAAAATTCTGTCTCTAGCATATTGAAACTTTCTACCTTGTCCTTACTGTTGTGCCTGATCTAGTTTAATGAGAAAAATGAGATGGAATCCTTGCTGAATACGTTTTGCTGTATTTAATGAGCTGAGCCCATTAAGGAGTAAAACAGCCAATTCGTGAGACTAAAGCTATAGATGCAGAGGGTGCACACAAGAAAGACAGTGGCCAGAAACAGGGCTTCACCTCTGCTGTTCCCAAGTCTGACTTGTTAAAAAATAATCAAACTGAGGTCTGAATCTACCCACATTCTACCTATACCATAACATTCAATTTTCTAGAATGAGAATCATTAGGTTTTTTCAGAGAAAACAGTTTAATACGTGCTTCATTCAGAAATAGCCCAAGCATGAAGGGGATATAAAGATGGGAATGTCATACTTCTGTTGTCTTGAGCTGTCACTCCAAAACCTGGAGAAAACTCTCCTCTGGACTGTCTGTAAGGCTTGTGCCAACTATCCAAATTATAGTTACTGTGGACAGAAATTTTATGAGTTGGAGAGTTGATGACAGAAGGTGGTCTTTATTTTGGATTTGAAAACTACTAAACCCTCATTACACCTTGGGCTCTGTGTTAAACCTTTATAGTCCTCATTGCACTTAGATCCCTCCCAGAAGAGAAGCTGGTTGTGTCATCCAGCCAATGGGCTAGGTCCTCCTAAGTCAAGTGACCTCCCCTGGTCTATTCATCGATGGCCAGCATGCTCATGTGGAGCACACATGGGTGGAAGAATCCTATTCTGTCATAGAGGAATCAAGTCTCAGAGAATAAAGGAAATGGAGTACCCAGGCAAACCAGGGAGCTATTGTATACATTATGAGACAAACCAAACCCAAGCCCACTGCTATCGAACTGATTCTGACTCATAGCAACCCTATCCGACAGAGTAGAATTGTTCCAAAGGGTTTCCAAGGCTGTAAATCTTTATGGAAGCAGATTGCCTCATCATTCTCCCATAGAGCAGCTGGTAGGTCCAAACCACTGACCTTTTGGTTAGCAGCCAAATGCTTTAGCCACTCTCCTGTCAGATCACCTTACCTTATGAGATAAACCGAAAACCAAACTCTCTGCCATTGAGTCAGATCCAACTCATAGTGACCCCTGCTTAGGTTTCTGAGGTGGTATCACTACAGAAGTAGCTTGCCCAATCTTCCTTCCAAGGAGTGGCTGGTGGGGTTGAACCACTACCCTTCTGGTTAGCAGTCAAATGCCGTAGGCACTATGCCACCAGAGCTCCTACCTTATGAAATAAGTATAATTATTTCTACTTTACATATGGGGAAACAGGGCCCGAGAGGTTAAGGAGCTTACCCAAAGGCACACAGCTAGGAAGTGGCAGAGCATGTATTATTACACAGGTCAATCTGTCTAAAGTTTGTACTCTATTTTAGTACATCACAGTTCTCCCTGGACGCTAGAGACATAGCTCCTTACCTTTAGAGCAAATTTCTTCACTCAGTTATAGAAGAATCAGTAGTACTAACTCTACCATCAAGCAGACAGATTGATGGACAATACACATCTTCCCGACATTGTCCTTACCTCTCATGCAGGGAAATGGAGTGAATATGTATTAAGCAGCTTCTAGATGTCAGATAGCCTGCTAAGCCTTAGAGATATCATCTCTTTTTATTCTCTATAATAATTCTATCAAGTAAATCATCCTAAATGGTTTATCCTCAAGTTCAAAATCAAAGAAGATAAATCATAAACCAAGGTCTTTTACAGAGTAAATGGGATGTGAACCTAGTTCTGCTACCTTCTGATATCTAGGCTATTTCCACAGTACTTGTTTCCCCATGAACATGTCTGGGCATGCCTCTTCCAAAGGACCACTTTCTAGGTGTCCAAGTCCCTACATGGCATCCCAGATGTCCCCAGGTTCCTTCCTATGAGCTACCCAGTGTTCTATTCCAAATATCCCCATAAATTTCAAAAGCATTGGTGACCTGGAAGGCTCCTTCCATTCACCAAGGTCAGCAGAACTGGAGTAAATCAAAGCTGAGACTCCTTCCTATCAGTGAAGAAAGCTTTGAATTTCCTTGACATATGAAAATTCTAAAAGAACATTTTAAATTACACTTTAAAAGAACATTC